CAGGGGGCTCTGCCCAGCTGCTCCCAGTGCCTGCACATGGCAAATCCCAGTGCCTGCTGGGACCTGCCTGCACCTTCCCTGCCCGTCCCACCCCCTCTGCCTAGCGGCCCAAAATAGGATCCGCAAGTGCCTGGAGGAGAACGGGAGCTCTTCCCGGCACCAGCTCAAGAGGCTTAGAAAATTAAGCAACTGGATATTTGGATATGTTAATGCTGCAGCAACCTCGGCGAGTCCTGCTCAAACGCAGCCTTGCACATACATCGCTATATATCTAGATATATATTATTCTTTTCCCCCAAGAGAGACAATGGAAAAGTAGCTGCAACCAAAACCGCCGAGGAGTGCAAAGCCCCCCCAGCTTCCTCCCTGCAGGCCCACAGCCTCCATCCCTGCCCCGGGATCTGCCGGGCTCACCCTGTGCTCCCAGCCTGGGGGCTCCAGGGGGCTCCGCTTGCACCCCCACCCCAGCCACAGGCAGCTCCTCCGGGCACTGCGCTCTCAAACCTCCCAAACCGCCGCAGGAACAGGTCGGGTCCCCTGCTCTGCTGCCCGCGAGGAGCCCGACGCTCCCGCCCCTGCGAACCCCGGCCCGGGGAGCAGAGCAGCTCTCACCTCCCTGCGTCATCCATGGGTTCTCTCCAGCCAGAACAGCACAAGGAATAACACAGAAGGAAAACAACAGGATTTGTTTCAGAGCCTGATCCACACGGGAAAAAGAATTTGGAAGCCAGGAATGGTGCAAGAAGCTGCCACCGGCAGAGCGAGCTGCTGCGAGCTGAGCACCCGCCTGCACTGCCAGCTGGGGAGAAACGGTGGAAAAAGTTTAAATAGCTTTTTTTTGCTTTGTTCCTGAGGGCCATTCTCATGGTAATCTTGTTTTCCATGCTGGGACAGCATCCTTTAGATCTGAGATAGCTGAGAAAAGCCTCAGACCCAGGCTGGAGCAGAGGCAGGGACCGGGACGCTCGCTCAGAGATGCACCTGGGCAAAGCAGTTGGCGTTGCCTCCAAAGCCTTTCATGCTCTCACTTTGATGTTCACTTTGATGTCCGGGATTGACGTGGCACGAGTAGTAGCTGATTAGATTAAAATCTGCTTTGTTTAGAGTCATTAACTCTCCAAATATAAAAGGTATAAAATATGAACACAGTTTACAAACAACCCTGTGTCACCTGTGCCCAAGGGTCAGCCCGCCCCAGCCACGCTCACGCTGGCCCCGGGGGAGCTGCCAGCAGCCAGGCAGGGCTGCGGCCACAAACAGCAACAGCTCAATAAAGTAGCAACATAAAACCAAACACTTGGGCTGTGGAACGCCTGGGTGGGATTTGTCCCATTGCACAACGCACAGAAGCACTCGGGGTCCGCCCAGCCTGCCCGGGGCCGTGACAAGTGGCTTTGGGTGGGGGCCAGGGGGCCAGCAGGCACCTGTGCAGCAGGTAAGATGTGGGCAAAGCACCCACCTGCACCCTGGGACCTGTCCCCATGCTGTGGGTGTATGCAGATCCATGGGTGTCACACGAGGGTTGCTCCATGCAGCAGGAGGAGATGCTGCTCACATCACCCCATCTATGCCTGGGAGGGGACAGCCTGGTGTACATCACCATGGCCAGCCAGCTCAAAATTCCCCTTGATTCCTCTGACCATCTTTAGGCAGCCCAAAATTCCCCCTGTGCCTTCTGCTTATGGTTTCCCCTTAGCTCCTGGGGCAAGAAAGCTCCTGCTCAACATCCAGGCCATGCCTGCCTTGTGCCACGGAGTTCAGATACCAACAAAGCAACACCAGGCACTGTACCTGTGTTTCAAACCAATGGTGTGATTTCTTGGGCTTGGCCACAACTACACCTTGAGGTCAGTCCTCCTACCCCTGCCCACAGCCAGACACATGGCACAAGGAATGCCACAGCTCTTCCCAGCCCCGTGAGCGATGGGCTGGATTTGTTCAGGATGCAACTCTCAGCACTCTGCAGGCATCAGCCACTCAGTGGCAGGTCAGGACACCTTGAGCACAGTGAGCACCAGCCTTTGCTGAGCTGGACATGGCAGTACCCACTTTCCCAAGCTGTTAAAGAGAATTTAAAGCCCAGCAATATACATCTGCAGGTCACTTTTTCCCCTCCAGCACATCTTTCTGATCTCTGCCAGCCTTTGCTTTTACCAATGTTTGCTAAGTCCACCCAGAATTCCTCCTGGTCTCCCCTCAGTACCAAAACTGGGAAGGGCTTTGCCAGCCTTTCAAAGCCCCACCCTATAAACCACCTCTCCTCTCAAGACCTGCTTAGGCAAATACTAACTCTTCACACCAATATTTTCCAAACCAAGTGAGATTCTTTTTTTTTTCTCTCTCTCTCCTTGTTTTCCCCTAGAAAAACTGCAGCCCAAATTGCTCAGTTGCTTCCAAGAATGAGGCTTAAAAAAAAAGCTGTGTTGCTCCACCCATACATTTAAAAATAAAATAAAATACAGCAACCCTTTCCTTAATTGGCTCCACGACAGCAGGATATAAAATCTGGGCAGCAGTTGTCTATGTGCTTTTTGTTGTCCTCAGGAAAATCAGTCTGAAACCAGGACACTGTTCAGGGAAAACTACAACCCCCCCCAGCAGCCCTGGTACATCCCTGATGAGCCCCAGCACTCTGATGTGACGGGGCAGAGGCCCCCCCCTCTGCTCCCCCAGCCCTGCACTCCTTCAAACATCAGCCAGGGAACAGTCCTTGACCTGTCCTTGGGACACATCTGCCCCAAGAGGAACAGAGGTCCTGCCAGGAAAACCAGACCCCAACCTTGTAATTAGCAACAGCTCCCTACTTAACGAAGGTACTGGAGGGAGAGAGACAGGGGGAGGTAATCAGGTTCATCCAGCCAATTTAGACCTAGCATTACCTAATTTTTCTGTGCTTGCCTTGCAGCCCGGGCAGGCCGGGTGTGCGGGGCTGCTGAGCATCCTTGACACTGAATCTCAAGCTCAAAGCCCTGGAGGGTGAAGCGCATCCTCAGGCCACTGCAGCTCCTGCCTCCTCACCAGCTTTTCCCTCCCAGTACATCTGAAAACATCAAACAGAATTTGGCCTTTCTTCCCACAGCTCCTGCCTTAACAGTTTCCTTAATAACTCAGCGAATTTGTCCAAGGCTTTCTGAAAATCCAGATAATTCCTCTCCCAACTGCTCTCCCCAATCACCTTATCATAATGCTGAAAAAAGATTTTAAAAAACCCGAGTAAACTGGATTTCCTGTATAAAAGCCATGTGTTGCTGTCCTTAATCTATCACACTGAAGCGCAGGCATTTCCACAAGAGCTTTAATTATTTTCTCAGCCAATTTGCTTGGTGCTAAAATAAAGCTGGCTGCTCTATAATTCCCACAGTTCCTCTTGTACCTCTTTAAATTAAGGACAGAGCAGAAGAGGCTGCGCTCCCATGCAGCAGTTGCTTTTAATGAGAGATTACTATTTGCTGGCAGTTCAGCTGCTTCTTTGTTAAATTCCTTCAGAAGCAGTGGCTGGAGCCCACTGGGTGCGGGTGATTTGTTGCTCCTTAATTTCTCCTTTGCACAGTACTTTATACCCCAGGGGAATTTCATCTTCATCGCTGACTACATTGTCTCGGCTGATGGGATGAAACTGTTTCATTTCAGCACAACATCCTCTTTTTCCTCAACTTCTCCGGCCAGGCCCTGATTACAGATCAGAGCTCCCGGTGCTGGGACGGGCTCTGCTGACCTGCTCCCTGCCCTCACGGCTGGTGGGGCCCCTGAGATACCTCTGCTCAACAGCTTGCACAACTAGCTTGGTTGGTTTCCCGCTCCCATCCTAAAAAAGGGATAACACTCA